AGGATAATCGTAACAATATGCCAAAATTCGAGCCAAATATTTTCAATAGTTAAATAGATCAGCTGTTTACTTGCTTGTTTCTGTTAAAGCTCAGTTAGCCTAGACTTAATTTCCTTAACTTAGCTCAATATTTTGGCCAACCTGTTATATGAAAAACTGTGAAACTACCGTAAGAAACTTAAGAACCTGTAGGTTTTAGATTCTTAAGTTATGGCCTTACGGAAATTGAGAGCCGTGATTCAACTACACAAGATCTGACAAGATGAAGCAAAAGAAAAAAGTAATTTTCTGGCTGACGTTTGTAATTTCGCCGCCATGCTATTTTCTATGAAAAATAAACAAAGAATATGAAGACGAAGCATAAAGCCAAAAATGCAACCAATGTTGTAGCACATGTTTGTGCTAACCAATTTATTATTTTTGTACGTGTTTTTGCTCCCAATCACCGGGCACTTCATTTTAATTACATTTGCCCAAAAAGGTTATTGAAAATCGCTTAAAAATCACTGAAATAAACCACCGACAAAATACACATTAAGGCTATCTGCACACTTGTCGTCCAATCATATTTGCGTTATCGTCCCTCCCTGAAATTTTGAGCCGAGCACATGCATTTCAAAGGAGATTTGCTCATTTGTCGTTATCGGCTAGTTATCGGCAAATCGAAGAAGATGCAGAAACGTATAAGTTCGGCACTGTCGTTTGCTAATCGTTGTGCACGCATTGTTTGTTTACATTTTATGGGGTAAAATTAGTGAAAAAGTTAATATTTGAATAAAAGACCCTTTTTGGCATAAAATCTGTCGAAATTATTAAAAAGTGGATAATAGCAATAAAATTCAATAAATATGAGCGTTTTAACTATGAAATATTACGAAATTGTAAAAAGTCTCTGTGTGCATGCACAAAATACATTTCAGGAAAAAAAGAGGAGATATTACTGAAAAATTATGTCTAGAATTGTTGCAGCACAGTCCATATTTTATAAACTGCAGGTTTTTGTAAATATTTCGCGAAAATATTAACCAGAAAAACAGAAAATACCTGCTCCAAGTCCATTTTTAGACGCCAAATGAATTGAAATATCATGACCGAGTGTGAGAAAATGTAGTCGTCATGTAATCGTTGCATCATGATTGTGACGAAGTAACTATAGTTGCTTTTCGGAGATAATCCAAAATCGTTGTACAAATTCATAAAGAGTACCCCCATTATTTACTCCCAATGAGTGAAATATACAAGAAAGTACGAAAACGCGAAACCAGAAAACTAGTGTTGTCCATCTTATTATATATTTAAATAGTTTTATTTTGTCAATTGCAACTCTAAAATTACCACAAACAATTATTTTCTTAATGTGATTTACAATAAGCATCATGCCATCATCTGTTTTTCCTACTAGCAAATAGTTGCTAGCAAAAATTTATCTAGTAAAAATCCAGTAAAACTTGCAAGTTCAGCTGTCATTTTTGCTCTCTCAATTTCCTCTCTTTTGCTACGACATCCAGTAAAAAACCAGTAAATTTAGTACTGGATTTACTGGATAGTGCGACGCGAACAGGGCTTATGGTTGGACGACCAATGTGCAGAAAGCCTAAGAAAGAAGCAAAACAGAAATGGCAAACTTCAAAATCACGAATTTTTTGTCTCAAATGCTATTACAGATGGCTGTTTCTCGACCGGTGAGATCTGTTCTAATTGGTTCATGCGTGCGAACACCTTTTTGACCCTTCTTAAAATTTGGAATTCCATCCCTGATGTACTCTACGTTTTTTGATGAAATATCGAAATATCTAACATCGATGACACTTTTATTTTTCACATTCCATTTAATAAGACGAGTTATCCATGGCATTAAATGGAAAAATAAGTTTATTAATCGCGTACTCAATATAATTATTTTTACTCTGATATTTCGAAAAATTTTTGAACTTTTTAAGTATGGTAAGTTGTGTTTTCGCACCCCAAATAATAAATGGCCGAAAAGACAAAGACACCTTTTCCATTGTTATCGGTATATTAAAGAAATTAATTTTTATATTCTGTTTATGTCACCTTATTGTTATTAGTTTATCAATGAATTATATTTTTAGATGCTGTTTATGTTGCTATTTAGCCGACAAGGCAAATTACGATTGCAAAAGTGGTACATGGCTTATCCCGATAAGGTAAAGAAGAAGATAACTCGTGAATTAGTAACTACCATACTGGCGCGGAAGCCTAAAATGTGCTCATTCTTGGAGTGGAAAGATTGCAAAATTGTGTACAAGCGGTAAATAAATTATGTATAATTTAACTCGTTTTAAAACTCCAATATGTTGCAGACAAAAAACCTGTGTTTAGTTCTTGAAGTGTTTTTTTATAAAGAAAACACATCTGAGTACGTATGCGAAACTTTTGTATGGAAAGTGAATAATTAGTGTTTTCTTGGGTAAAAGTGCACTTTAGCGGAACCAGGCGTCCAACTCCTTTTTGCGTAGGCGACCTTCGGCCGCACTTAGGGATTATAACCCTCAGGTAGTAGAATTCTCCTTTCTGTGTTGCCGAAGAAGTTGGCTGACCTACCTTTTCCAGATAACAACTTTCATTTACTCCATTTATTTGCATCAAATTCATCAAAACATGGTGCGAAAAGTGCAAAGTGCAAGTGTTTTTTGCGAATAACCCGTAAATTAATTAAAAATCTTAATAACCCTGGTTCCCGTAAAGTGCACTACTACCCTTGGTCTTAAATGCCCTATGCTCCTCTCTCCTATGAGCGACGGTCTCACGCACCAGAAGGAGGGTAATGGAGTCTCCTTGGCAGCGTCACAGAAGCGACATAGGTCACTAGACCAGATTCCTAAATACATAGTACAAGTGCCTGTAATGATCCTTAGTTTCTCCTGTAACCTATATCTTTTTAGATTGTACCCTCTAAGTGAGCTTTTGGGTTACCGAAGTCCCATGGTATTATGGCAATACCGTTTCCGTAGCTTAGTGAACTTAAAGCTATGACAACCGAGACATAACATCTTTTAATACAGTTTTACTTAAAACAAAACAATAAACCTGAAAAATTATCGCAAAAATGTATGGACGCAATATACATATATCATACATTTTTTGAGGGAATTAGTATTATTATATTTATATTTTCGGCAAATTCAAGTTAGATTCGTTTACATAAAAAAAGCGTAAAAAATTATTATAAAAACCTGTTTGTTAAAACTGGAGTTTTATATATTTGCTGGGCGTCGCACAGTGGGCCACCGGCTGGCCGTAAAAAAATATTTTATTGGTTCTGATGCTTGGATTTGTCGTAAAAAGTGGCCATAAAGAAATTCACCTTGATCGGGGATCGATTGGGTGGCCCCAGAGGTCCTTTGAGCAGGGTTTGTAGCAAAACCGGCATATTCAAGGTATTTATATATAAATACGCCGCAATAAAATTTTGAACCCCCTTTTTTGAAGGCATCGTTCGCTCAATTTCTATGAAGCATATCTCTAATACAGAAATGTTAACAGCATTATACAGGGGGAGTGGCATCTGACGTGCATACTAAAATGTGAAAACCGGTATATCTCTAAACCCCATTATACTGGGGAACTGAAACTTGGCACGGCGAAATATGATAAGTATTGGAAATGGGGGCGTGGCACTTCCCTTGTTGTTCTTGTTGTAACAGCATACAAATTCTCCAAATAGTTTTTAGAGAGTGTTGCTGGAGTGACAGTCCTTGGCCAGATATAAATCTGTGTCGTTCCGGTTACATAGACCCGACTGTCATGGGAACGTGGCACTTCCCATAGTTAGGTTAGGTTGTTGTGGCAGACCCCGCTCCAGGGGGACACACTTAGACATTAATTATATTATCCATTGTGTTACCACATTACACAAGTTCTTTGAACGGCAACTAAGATATTCTGTGAAACTAAAAAAACTAAGAGAAGCGCTGGGTGCTCAGAACAAAGTTCCGCAGGCAGCTGATGTCCACTCCGGAGAGCTTTTCAGGAGTGTCGAAGAAATGAGCACCGAGGTGCTTAAATCTTAGTATTGCGAATGCCGGGCAACTGAGAATGAAGTGCTGAGATGATTTCACCTCATCTTCTAATCAGCTGTGGCAGTAGGGATCTGTGTCAGGACTACGTCGGCTCCACCTTGCTCAAGGTGGATGAGGAGATTTGCGGACGCCGCCTTAGAGTGTTGGAGATTTATCTGCAGGATCTTCATCCTCCAAAGTCTTCTCCAGCCTCGCCAGTTCGACATCCTCGTTGACCGAGGCTAGAAGCCTCTCTTCCTCCGCACTGTCATAGAATCGTCCGATGCTGATGACGGACCCCTCGGTTGAGAGAGCATCCCTCGGCTTGCCCATCGTCGGCACCTCCGGAGGTTGAGAGCCATCCCTCCTGGCATCGGATTGGTAGACCCTAAGGACTACCCTTTCGAAGCCATAAGTTATGACTCCCTCTGACTCACCGAGGGGACCGGGGGACTCCGCGTTGAGTAATATGTGCGCTTGCCGATGCCATTCCTCAGACCCCTGAAATCTGACAACCCTCAAGTTGTGCGTGGGCAGTTGCGGGTTGCATTACCGGAGGAGGAAGTATTTCTTTTATTATTATTTTTTTTTTATTATGCAAAATTTTCGATATATGTGTCGAATAGTTAGCCTTTCATCTTTGAATCCGGTTGGAAAACTTTGTTTACATAGAAGATATCAAAACTAATGGGCTTCGCTACTTTAAACAGAAATTTGAGATTGGCCAGCTATATAAAAAAATTTAATTTTTGTATGGGGCCTTCCAAAGGAGAGGATATATGAGAAGATATGTTCCCAGGAAAATATGGTTGGGGAAGGAAAAAATAATGAGGGTATATGGTACATTTGATCCCTTTAAAAGCAACAAACAAAGTTTCAAAACTTCAAATTTGACCAACAAAAAAAAACAAAGTGGGCTTCTAAACACCAAAGGATAATGTTTTCCATGATACAAAAAAGAAGGTAGTTTCATTACTACTATTTTTTGATTATAAAGCAGATTTTTGACATTTGTCCAGATGTAAACATTAAGCAGAGCATTGCCACATTGAAATTTTTTGAGAGGGGAGTTTTCTTTTAAATATTTGGAATTTAATGAAAGAGTAAAATTTACATAAAAAAATAGCAAGTTGATGTGATCATAATCAAATTTGAACGTTTTTCTCAAACGTTTAAAATATCCTTTGAATAATATCGATGTGCAGGGATGAAGAAATAAAACAGAATCTAGTTTTGAAACATTTATAATAACTAATTTTATTAAAAGGCTTTTTTTATTTTATTTTAAACAAAATAAATGTATTTACATAACAAAACTGTTAGATATTTTGTCATTAAAGCATGGTCCGAAACCAGGCTTCGGAGAAGGTTGAATGGTCTCATTTCCCTAACAATTAAAGGAGCCAGAATTCAGAATTCTCCTGAAGTGAAGTATCTAGAAGTAATTCTGTATACAAAACTATCGTGGAAATCTATTGTGGAACACAAAACTTCTAAAGAATTGGCAGCATTTTGACAATGTAAACAGGTCTTTGGCAAAACGTGGGGTGTGTCACCATAGGTAATCCTCTGGATTTATACCTCAAAGCCATAATTATGTATGCGTCAGTGGTATGGTGGAGCAGATTCTCAATCAAGAGCGTGGGAGGTCTGCTTGCAAAACTTCAAAGATCTACTACCGTGTGCGGTACGAAATATTTCTCTACAATACGTGGCGTTGCTCTTGATGCACTGCTGCACTTATCGTCATTTTAATTGCCAGGTAGTTAATATGGCGCCCGAAAAGTGCCAATGAAACTACCTTCTTTTTTGTATCATGATTTTTTCTATGTAATTGGACATTTCTTATCAAGTTGGAATTATCAAGACATCAAAATCCCATTTCGATGTTTTTGCGGCTAAACTGATCATATGCGTCGCACAGTGCAAGATTTGGCCAATCTAGCTGCTTTTAATTCTGTGATTCGAAAACTATTGACGATCGATTAATGAAATTTTGCACAAGGTACGGTATAAGATAGGCGAAGCTCTTTCGAAAAAAATTGGTCATTTAGAGGTACTGCTCCGCCAACCTATTATATAACTGTACTTTTTAAGCAGGCAAAAGCTGAGATATTTAACTAACTACAAAAGCTAAAATGCCCAAAATTAATGTTTCGAAAATCCTTAGAGCAAGGAATTATAAACGGACAGAAATGGACTTAAAAATTATTTTTATTTTTTTTAATTATGGGCGTGGCAAATATCGATAAAAAAGTCAAGTTGGTTCAACAAAACTCCGTTATAAGTTCAATATTTCTTGCTCTATTTGCAAAAATGGGCTACCGTTGGAAAGGTTATGAAAGAAGAAATAATTCGAAGAAAATAAAATTCTTAGTAGGCCTGAAAAAGAAAATTTCATCAAAAACAGCACTTTCCAGCAGCGTTTTTAAAGTATAAGAGGAGTGGAAAATAAACTGGTATACAAACTTTATCGAATAATCGCGGATAACGTGTTTGTCTAATTGCGCTAGGCAATCTTCCAAACCAAATCCCATCCCGCCATACACTTTGAAGTAAATTTTCTTGTTGTTATTATTTCGTCTTTACGAGGAATTTTTTTTCGACGCTGTCGTGAAATTTAGCGATGTAAAGTAATTTAATTAATGTGTTTGTTAAAGATCACACCATTCTAGTAACCAAGGAATGCTGCAACAACTTTCGCCTTGCGAAACTTTCAGGATTACCTGGTATTTCTATAAAAGGAAACGCTTACGGGCCACTTCCTAATGTGGAATCAGCACCTGTATTGACGTATGTGACATGTAGGACCGAATCGGAAAAGTTACCAAATTGAAAAATAGATTGACAAATTGCCAAACTTAATAAACAAAGATGCCAATTGTTCAAAGCAGCAACGCTGGTTGCCAACTGTTTGAAAAGTCAAATTCCGCTTAATTCATCGCAGCCGCCAAAAATTCCTGGTATTGTGAAAGATGAATTGTAAATGCTTTTTCAAGGTTGTTTGACGCCTCACTTCCCAGGGAAAGCTTTTTATGGCGCACATTGAAAATCGCAGTTGCATTTGTTCTGTTGAAAAACTTCCAAATAGCGCCCATGTTTCTACAAAATCACAGCAAAACGCAATTGTATCACTTTTATGTATTTTTTTTAATATATAGAGTTCTTACATTTTCAAAAGTGTTATGTAGAGATGCGAAAAAACAACAAAATTTTAACAACTGCCGTAAAATAATGTAACTTCGAGACTTCGTCGTTCCCACGACAGTCGGGTCTACGTAACCGGAACGACCCAGATTTATGGGTCGAATATCGATAGCAATCGAACTTCAGTTGCGTTGAAAGGTGCCAAAACGATATTACAGATGGCAACTGGCAACTGGCAACTTACAACTGCAGTTGCTACAAAGTGTGTATATAGGCAACTACATTTTTGTGGTTGCTGGGAATGTTTTTGGGGCGTATTTAGAAGCGAAAATTGAAAAGTGTATCATATATTTTACTTTTTAATAATTTGAACGATATTCACATTTTGTAATGTAGTTTGCTTTTACAGAATATGGTGAAAATAACAAAACATAATAAAAAAGAAGCGAACACTGATTGCAAATATTTTCCTTTATCAACTGAAGCATCTCTTTTAAAACTACCGACACACCAAGTTTTCCAAATTAAAGTCAATTGCTGTGGCACTTCCTTCTGCGAAACATCGAAGAGGTGCGCAAGCTTTTATGAGCGGAGGTATTGAAGTTGAACGAAGTGGTTCATTTGTTTATTAACCAATTGTACTACAGCTTCTTTTGGAAGTCCTGAATATGCTTTTAAAATGAACACAAAACGATAATAAAAGAAAAACCTCAAAAGCATTAACTTTTGCTTACAGTGCACGCGGTAGCTCTAGAGGATTGGAATTATCCTTTAAATACCGCCTTATTGAGGCCGCGTTCATGCACTGCTCTTCCTTTTAAACAAATAATTATGATGAATTTAGTTTTATTGCTGTCTTCTTTAAAACTCCTTATTTTAATAATTTAATTTCACTCGCACAG